GTATTTCAGCAATTAGCTGTTCGTTTGGTCCATGACGATATGGCGAGGCAATGCCCAGGAGAGCTGCTTTGGAGTCGGAGAATATCGACCATATCGGTGGCGGTTCTTCAACTAGGAACTCCAGAGCGGCACGAATGGCGGCGAGTTCTGCCGCCGTGGATGATGTCAGATGCGAGGTCCTGAACTTTATCGTGATGGATTTCTCCGGAATTACCACTGCGCCTGTTGAACTTGTTGAAGTGACCGGCCCATCCGTGTAAATGTGAATGCGTCCACTGTGTTTCTCATGCAGAAACAGTAATTTTGTTCGTTTTAGGGCCAAATTTGACAAATTTTTCTTCTTCTGCATTCCGGGGATGGCTATCAGGGCTTCCAGTGGATGTAGACACCACAATAGTAACGACGGTCTTGCTGCGTGCGTGAAGTTCGTGGGAATCACCGTGCGATGTGAGGCAATAATAGAGCAGAACGCAGAGCATTGACTGGAAGTTGGAAGGGAGGCGAGGTGATGCGATTGAATCCGGGTGGCATGTCTTATGTGCGTTCTTAAAGCATCGACACGAATATAGGTTGTGATAGGGTGTTCATGAGCGATTGCGACAGTCACTGCTGAGGATGCGCATCTCAGCAGCCCGAGGTATATTCTCAGTGCTTAAGCTTGTAATGACTGGAGGACGTGTACGTTTGTTATGCGGGCCTTGCCAAGCACAGGTAGGCTGTAGCGCATGAAGCCAAGAACAAGTTCAGCATACAGTTAAAGCATGGCTCGTACCGATGCACCCCAAGATTTTCCCGCAAAAAACCTTAGGACGCGGGTGATCATGGTCAGTTTCTTCTTCATGTAATCGATATGAGGGCTCCAAGACACATCACGATCTATTATGAAACAATGTCACAGGCCTACAAAATGGGCCGACAATGAACATTTAAGGCCGCAAAGCTCAATCTTCGTCTCAGATAGGTGTGCAAGAAACAGAGAGAGGCGTCTTAAGATGAATAATCACATAATTTTCGACCTCATGCAGTTAAACTAGTTAAACAGAAAATGTTCTCAATTTTTGCAGTTATGCGGTTATGTCTCATGGTACAACTGAAGCTCTTGATGCGAAAAACCCAGCGCTGTTTTGAGATGTGGAGAAGTGGCAAGTAATTATTGTGGCACAATAAAATTTGTATATGTGATATATAGCAGCTCTCTTAGCCCAAATTTCGCACCTAAACGAGCAGAATGCTATTAGGACCTATAGCTGGGCCGTGACTTCCATAAACCTATTGCAAGAAAGCAGCGCGAAAAACGAGAAACAGGACAAAGAAGGACACATCCACAGCACTGCGTGTTTTACGCGCTTTTTTATTCCAATATGTCGTACCAACACGTTCAAGCAACCAGTTTAGTTCCATAAACCAATGTGTCCCGCATTTCTTAGGGTGTTCAGTATGCGAAACGTACAGAGTGCCCTACATATCTATAGTCAAGTCCAAAAAAAAAATAGTTAGGACAGCCAGAATGGTGCAGATAGAGATCTAAACCCGGCTTCCCGGAATTAGGTATCTTTCTGATTTATCGACGATTTGAGAAAGCCATGCTCAGTGTCAGTGCTGAGGACGTCAAGCGGCTTCACGAGCCGCAAATCTGCGCCACGTGCCGCTAGTAGTATAGTAGCGAAAGCTACCTCCAAGTCCTTGAATACACTTAAGGTCCGCCACACAGAATGTCCAAGGGCAGTTGTCGATGGTCGGCGACGGCATGCGCTCAGTTTATTGCATATACGACGCGAGAATCAACAGACTGCCCAACAATTTATTCATTTTTTTTCTGCATTTTAATCCCTTTTTTCACTAACGCTGAACAGTAGGGGCGAAGAGGTTAGATATCGTGAAGAAACTGCAAAAGCTGGTTAAGGAAAAGGCTTCTCTCCAAAGTCACGAACGCATTTTCTTTTTACTTTCCGCGATGAGCCATTCAAGTGGATGGCGAAGAAAGTCATCGGTCATCTGACATCCGCAGACGCGGCAACCGCCTTGACTGAATAAGTTTGCGTTCGCCATTGGCTCATACGAGCCATTAATTTGCATACACGTGCCTCCAACATGGCCAAACAAACCGACATGCATGACTACGAGTAGCTGTCAAGCAATGGCTCAGCGAAAGACGGGGAAATAGAAAAACATTGGATTGCAAACATGTGCGCCAACCGGGTTAAGAAAGTGGTCACACAGGGAACCAGGAAATGACTAGAATACGAACTTTTTGTGTTCGTCTTGTTGACGCTTTAGTCCGACAGTAACGTGCACCAACCACAGGCCAGCAAATCGTTAAAACGTATAGCAGTGGCTATTGACCAAAAGGAGTTTCGTTACGATGCTCTGCTGTACTGATTTCAAAAGCACAAACTGCCTATTAAACAAGTGAAGCGACGCTGTGATAATACGTTTCGGTCTTTTACGTATCAAGGACACAATGTCCCCAACAAAGGCGCTGTGAAAAACAGTACATGTCAACTATACGGATGCTCGTCACGCATTTCATGTTTCTTCAAATAATTTCAGACGCAAGGTGCAGACTTGTGAACGCTTCCTCGGTGGACAACTAGTGCTCATTCTACTCCATGGCGCTCCCCATTGCTGCAAGAGATCACTTTAGTGGAGGCACAATTTTTTCACCTGTCTTGTTCTAGGACGAACGGGAAGAGCATTGTATATATTTCCTAAAAACTAACACAACCAACAAACTAACTGGGTTTGCTTGTTGTGTTGGTTTGATTTTATTGTAAAATTTGAAACTGACTGATTGCAGATCAGTTATGCATTTAATTACTTGTCGTCAGCATCAATCACTCATATGCACACAAAACAATAAAGTCGCTCAATTTCTTTCTTTTTATGCAGCAATGAGTAACTCAGTATTCTGCTATGGGGATTTGACGTATTTCACGCAGGGCATCATGATTGGCGCCGAAGGCAATATGAATATGCAGAAAATGATGCCACGGAATTCTGGAAACTTCAACAGCGTTAGATTGCTTAACATAGAAGTAAACACTGCGTCATGTAGTGGCTGAGCGCTTTTACAAGTCGGATGCGATATATTCACCGTAAATGAAGTTTTTCTTTAGAGGAAATTGTAGTTATGATGTATTAGCCTATTTTTCCGGATGTTGAATGCGCGGTAGTCTCTCTCACGAGGTATCACATAAAATTTGCGTTTGGTATGCTGTGAACAAGTATTGATATTTATTCATAACGCTTCTGTTAAAAAGGACAGCATTAAAATTTTTATCGGCACTAACCTACCAGCACTGCTTAGGTTAGATGAGTGCCAACACAGATAATTACCGTATGTTGGTGCTCCTCTGGTAATAATGTTGAGGAATAGGCCTGTAGAATAGGGTCAGAACTTCTTTTCGCAACAGTAGCTTTTGTTTTTCTTGCAAGTGATCCGATCATTAAGTCAAAATACATGGAAAGATTGCACAACTCGTGAAAGTTTCTCTTTTTTCCCTGTGCATTGCGAATCAGCTGTTTAACGCCCTCTCAGTGACAACTAAAACATTTACACTTATGACACTGTCCTTTAGAACGTAACTTCAAAGCTGGTGCCTCTCTTACACGCAGAATATTAGTGCCTCAAGGTTAATGACCGCGGAGATTGTGGCATCACTTCGAGATAACTTTAAACCCAAAACCAGTTTTTTTTTTCACGGCAAATGCAAAAGGGGCACCTTTCTCACTCAGGAAAGGTTCTTGACCGTTGGGGTTGTTGCTTCCGGCGCCGATTATAATCCTCTCGGCGCAAAGTAAACATTGTGCACCACTGAATGATTAAGTCGGCAGCCTAGGTTGGCCCCGCTTATGAATTCAAAGCTCTTTTCAGCGGGCGCTGTTGGAGAGGGCTACAGTGTATTATGGAGTTCGCAGACAGTCTTTCACTAAAGCCACCACCTCTTCGCTCGTCCGTGACGGCTCACAAGTTCCTTGTGCAGTTAAACTTTACTGGGTAAAGTGTCAGTAGAGGACAAGAATGACGAGAAATCGTGGCCTTGTCCGCGCTCACCACCATCTGCATTTAACGGGGCGTCGTTCACGAAGAATACGCTTTGATTACGCTTCTACCTTCTTACGCCCCACTGGGACGACATTGAAAGCACGCAGTTTCGCCCGTACTTAGCGACGACGACAACGTGTAGCGCGCATGCAGTTCATTAATTCTTCAGGTTTACGACTTTCACGAGACGTTGCAGCAGAATACACGCTCTTTCCATTCATCTTTTGGATGAAATGAGAGATACGGACATGAGATATGCGATATAAAAGAGTTTCATGCAGATGGCTCGCAGGATAGTGGAAGGTTACACCCTTCCGTCTATGCACCACTTGTCCTCAAGACGTTTCAGGTGAAACAAAAGATGGTTATTACGATGTACATAATTGTGTCGACGCCGACGTTAAGCGATGGAGTAATAAACAAGAAAACGCCTAGGTAAGCGCACGTGCCCACAATGACGACAGGCATCTGTGTCCTTCGTGTCACCACCAGCTTCCGTTAAAGCCTGCACTCCCGCGTTTCCTTGAGGCCGACCGACCACACTGGCTATCTTCGGCAGCGAAGGCTTTCGGTCGCGCCGTGCCTTCGTAATTGAACATTACGAGCGAATGTGTCACTTCGTGTGTGCGCAAAGGATATGAGCCGTCGGTACGCAGGCACCGAAATTGTGCGGAGGAAAATAAACACTAAGGGCGCTGCGCCTAGAGCGACGTTAGGCGGTGCCAAAATCAAAAGAGACACGAGACGCAGCTCGTTCATACATAAATCATTGAAGGTGAGAGATCATCCCTAGAGGTCCGCGTGCCCATCAAACGAGGATGGTGAGGCCGAGAGAACAGTTCGTGCGCGAGGTGAAAGCAGAGAGCGAGGTGGAGAGGACTTGTTGTCGAGTGGAAGAAGTGCTCGGCTAAAAGGAGTTGCTTCTGCGCAGAGTGAGTCACATCGTTCGCTGCGAAGGTGGAAACGAAGCAACAAAGGGTGGACAATATGTCGCCGATCGGAGTGTCTTCAAGTCTCCTAGTTCTTCTTGGCTTACTGCTGGGTGAGTTTGTGTTTTCGCCATCTCATTTACCGTTCAGTGCTAACGTACCCTCTATTGCGATCGCTTCATTTATGTTTAAATTGTAATGTCAGACAGTACTTTAAAATAATGAAAAAAATAAATTCAAACGAGTGCTTCAAAAAAATTATTGCATGTTGTGAAACAGCACGCTAGCTCTCATGTTCTCCCGTGCCTGATAAAATCTACACCAACTTATAAACATCTTCATAGGATCACTGAAACGGTGCTCATCTAAAACCGGGGTCACTAGGCATAGAAGAAAGTTCTACGCAATTTTTCGCTAGAAAAAAGCACTTTTAAGGAAAGAAACACCATACTATGCCTACTTTTTCTCTGGGCGTGTATACTCAGTACTTTGACGGCAGTAAATCCAACGAAGCTGACAACGAGCTTTATAAATAATACAAAAACTTTAACGTGCGTCAAGAACATCTCTAAAAGTAGGCATACTGAAAAAAGTACGATCGGGGGTGAAAATTGATAAGCAACAAAATTTCACTACGCATCTCGCGACAGGCTCTAAGTAACTAAAAAACACAAAATTGGTGGCACAAAAACAAGGATCAACACTCATGAGATGTCATTTATTCATGAGACCAAGATAAAAAACTGATTATGTTCAATATATACTTTTTGTTCACGTACTGGAGTGTCAGTTGGATAGAGCACTGCTTTTTGCCTAAACACCCTGTAAATATGACAGAGGAACCAAACATCCCTTGAAGCATCACCATTATCAGCCTATTCTACCTCAACGTTCTGGACGAAGGTTTTTTATAGTGACCTTGTACCCGGCATAGTGGTTTAGCGGTCATGACGCTGGACTGCTGAGCCGAAAGTCGCAGGATCTAATTCTGGCCGGGCGGCTTCATGTCGACAAAAACGAAATGCAAGAGGCTTCTGTACTTGCATATTTATTGGCCCTCATAAAAGATCAAGAATGTTGATATCACTCATTTGCATCATTCTCAATTTTCGGACCACGGACAAAGCTTATTTTCCGCTGACAATCAACGACGCCTACGTTGACACCAACGCCGGCATTTTTGCGATATCAGCCTTTTACCGCTATTCTGTTAATAATAATAATGCTTTAGTGTCCACTTCCATGAGAAACACAAAGAAACGGGCCTGTCTTAGCCTCTATTATAATAATACCAGAATAGCAATAATGTTCTTATTATTATTATTATTATATTATTATTATATTATTATTATTATATTATTATTATTATATTATTATTATTATTATTATATTATTATATTATTATTATTATTATTATATTATTATTATTATTATTATTATATTATCATGTTTGAGAAGAGAAGCCGTTGTGGAGGGCTCCGGAAATTTCGACCACCTGAGGTTCTTTAACGTGCACCCAAATCTGAGCACACTGACCTACAGTATTTTCGCCTCCATCGAAAATACAGCCACTGCAGCTGGCATTCTGTCCCAGCCACTGCAGCTGGCACCTGTGGGTCCGCAGCCGGGTACCTTAGCCACTATTTTTATGATTATTATTGTTAAGTATGTTCGCGAACGGTCTAGTGGGGAGTTCTCCAGGCTACTGGACTAGGATGGCGTCGAAGTGCATGCCATTGCTGACCACACATTTGTCATCCGTATACAAGACCTCAGGCTGGAGGACTCAGATAGGACAACAGCACAATGCAGTGAATGGTTCAAGTGGTCTGTCGCTGGACGAAAAGCTCATCTGCTCATGCATTAAGAGCTTGAAAGCATCCTTATCGTGTGGCCCAGATGTCATCTCTTCCGCCATACTAAAGGCTTGTGGTATTACTTGCCCCAGTAATGACTAATATATTTAATAACTGTATGAACGCTTCCACATCTCCCAGCATGTAGAAAAACTTCCAGTAGTTAGGTGGGGCATACAAACTTGATGTTTGTAATGATGACACAAGTTCTCCACTGTGCCACATCTAATATCTTTGAGCTAATTCTTCACAACATTTTCTATGTTAGCGTCAATAAATAATTAGTTTCTAATGAACACTGGTTTCTCCCTTGCCGCTCAGCTAACACAAATCTTGCTAGTTTCATGACACATACCTCCCCAACTATTTATCAGAGAGGACCGCTCAACGTAGTCTACTGTGACATGAGCAAGGCGTTTGACGTAGTCAGACTTTCACTGTTTTAAGGGAAATCTCTTTAAGCCGCGGGTCGTGCGTCCGCATTGTATGTAGTAATAGTGCGTCGTAGTAGTGCGTAGCCACCTCCACGGCCGGACTGGAGAAGCGGCACGCGTGCACTCATTTAAATTTAGGAGGAAACCCAGGCTCATTATTCATAAATAAAGAGGTCGTTGTTTCTGATGAAATAACTCACAGGGAAGAGTATTGGTGACTTAATCTCTGATAAAGGTTGCCTTAAATTTGATGCTTACTAAAAAAAAACTAGTATCAAAAGGACGCACTTTGAGCCTTATCTGTCCACAAAAGGTTGCTACGTTTAAGTGGCTGGGCGTTACATCCTAGATTTTAGCAATGTTTAGCGCGCAGTGCAATTGGCTGGTGGCGGTAAAAGGTGGTAACTAGACACGAAGTGGAGGCCGTCAGAGAGTGCGCGCACGCCGCTGCTCTAGTCCGGCCGCGCCACCTCTCGTTTAGTCCTTGGAACGTCCGCTGGATAGCGATACTACTACACGATGAATATATGATGAAAAGATACGAGATGGTGGCACTTGGAGTGTTCGCTAGATGGACGGACGCATGAATGGACGGACAGATCCATGGATGAATGGACGCACGGGCCGACGCACGGACGGATACATGGACGGACGGACGAACGCATGAACGAACCGGTGCACGGACGGTCACATGAAAGGACACACGGATGGACGGAAGCAAGAACGAACGTACGGATGGAAGCGTGGACGAACTGACGGAGGCTTCGTTCCACTCGATATCATGCACTACGTGGATATGCTGCGATTTGTAAAGACGACAGTCTTTCTCGGGGACCTTCGATGCAAAAATTTGGTCTGTCTACCTGTCTGTCTATATATTTATCTGTTTGTCCACCCTTGACGGTACCCTAAACGGCACCAAAGCGGCCAAAGGATACCCCAAACGCCCGACCCCATCTACAGCACCCACCAATATTGCTCAAGGTTCAGCGTTCATACTTGTGCGCTTGTCAAAAAACCAAATATTGCTCTTATCTGTAGCACCATAACAACACGTCAATATTATGTATGTGTGTCTCTTACTAGAAAAGGCATACATAAGTGATTCTAAGGATCATAGCATTTATCACGCTGCGCTGACCGTGCAACGCTTGCACAAAAAGGCAAGTGTTTCCGACGCTTTGCTAAGACGACACGGTGGTGGCACCTACCCGTCATCTTGCGTTCTACACGTCAACACTAAAGGCCGAATATTTAGACACTAAAAAGTGTGTTTTAAGCGCCAAATACAAACTGGTAAAACGCTGTTTAAGGCCCTCAGAATCATATATAGGCACAACAAACTTCTATGAAAATCGAAATATCACTTAGCGACGAAGTCGGTGACTGGTATTTACGGCAAGAAGCAAAAAATGATTTGTTTAAGATACCAGAAATTTACCAACGATTGAACATAGGCATGCATTTCACGTGCGATTTGCAGTATGTGATCTTTCGTTTTACTGTCTAGAATTGTGCGTCAAGTGTCCATCTTTCAATTAACACTCTCCTGGGTCTCTTTCGTCTCGTTGGGGCTGGGAAGGGCAGCGCAGGTGCAAATAACCAGACCACGGATACCCATAACAGAGGGATAAATCCCGTAGGACGACTTCTCTCCTATCGGTGAACACCTCAAAGGTCCACGCACTAGGTTGGGCATTTCGAGCTGACAAGCGTAACGGTGCACTGGCACTCCGGATCGTTCTTGTTAAGATTTCCAAATTACATGTCGCGGAAAAACGCTCAATTTCTAATGAATGCCACCCTCGATTCTCACGGGCGTGCGCCCCAAGATCTAGGAAGAGACTATACCGTTGCGTTGCAATGAATTCCCAGTCATTGTGGTATAGCTGGGAATTAACAAGCTGATGCAGAAGCGAAAATTGCGCACACTAGTGGCGAAATGATATCGATTCACTTTTCCCGATACGACATCATTTGTCAGGCTATTCCAGTCATTAATAGTTCTAGGGAAGAACGAATACTTGTGGCAGTTAATCCGTGAAGGTAAAGGAGTTATCGTTTTACTATGTCGCTTGCGAGTTGCGTAACCGGAAGAATACCGAAGAATGCCTGCATTGTCAACATTTAAATGACCATTTATTAATTGATAGAAAAACTTAAGCCGGCAAGTGCGGTTTCTGTCCACAACGGGTTGCAGACCGCTTTTTACCAATAATTCAGATACGGATGTTCTACCGTAGGAGTTATAAATAAAACGTAAGCCCTTGTTCTGCACTTTTTCTAATTGATTAATGTTACGTTTAGTGAATGGATCCCATATTATTACAGCATATTCCAACATTGGACGAATGAGTGTTTATATGCCAACATGCGTACAGACGGGGTAGAATATTTTAAGGATCGCTTTAGAAAAAAAGTTTCCGTAGACATTTACCTGTAGTTATATCGACGTGTTTGTTCCAGTTTAGATCATTAGTTATCCATACTCCAAGGTACTTGTATTCTGCAACTTCTGTAAGATTGACGCTATTTGTGCCGTACTGATAACATAAAGGATTTTTTCTTTAGTGTTATTTTCATATAAACAGTTTTGTTGTAATTAATTGACATTTGCCATTCCTGGCACCAAGAGACGACCTTGTTGAATTGATTATTGAGCCTTATCTGATCTCCAGCAGTTGATACCTTCGTGTATACTACACAATCATCAGCATAAAGCTTTACACTTACAGAAAGGTCATTCGTTATATCATTTATGTATAATAGAAAAAAAAGAGGTCCGAGGACCGAGCCCTGAGGTACGCCGGAATCCACAGGAAG